CAAGAGGAATAATGAAAACCTCAAACACAATAATACATCGACTGAAAAATAGAGAGAGACAGCGAGAAATACAACGATATTCATTTAACAAACAGAGTACAACGTTCAACAAATATTAAATTACAAGCTTATGAGGCAACATTTGGATCAGCAGTGGCTTCAGGATCAGTCGAGACCCGCTCTGGCTGCGACTCGAGCTGTTGCCCCGCAGACTCAGCCGGCTGACTGGAGCCAGAGGTTGAGCCAGCTCCATCAGTGGATTGAATTTGACGAGCAGGGGGAGGAACGTAGCCGTCAGGGAGCTTGAAGGTGCGCTTCAGCAGGTCGTCCTGATCCACGACGAGCTCGAGCAGGCCACACCACCAGTCGTGGTCGTCGGGCAGGTCGAGGGCACTTTTATAGCCGATGGGAGCCTTGGGCATAGCATCCCATATGGTCTCCATGTTGAACTCCTCAAACCCGTCCTCGGCTACCTGGACCCCGGCTTCCTGCATGGTGGCCCCAAAGCAATGGGTGCCATACTCTTGCACATCTTTTAAATATTGGGGTGACTGCTTGAAAGCAGCCACCACTTGCTCGCGGTACACTTGTAGGAAGTGCCGACCGGCAATCGTGTGGAAGACCATGCGCCGAGCTCGAAGGGCAGCCTCGTCGACCAACAGTTTAGCTCTCTGCTTGAATGCAATGTTTTCACGGGCCCGAGCTAGCTTCTCCTCCTTGAGCGCAGCTTCGAGGGCCTTTTTGGAGGCTAGGAGGGCCTCTTTCTCCGCTCGCTCAGCGGCGAGGGCCTCCTCGAAGGATTTAACGGCCCCCTCGAGCGTCTCATTCTCGGCGGAGAGAGCTTTATTCCGAGTGGCCGACTCCTACAGCCTCTCGTGCAGGGCATTGGCCTTGACGACCATCTCGTCCAGCCGAGTACTGAGCTGGAGATTACTTCGCTCGAGGGCGGAGATGGACCGACCCGGGCTAGCTAATGTTTGCTCGATCAGCGGTGCGAGCTCGACCATGCCCTACAAAGGCACGTAAGAGATAGTATTAGAGCACTGACGAGGGGAAGAAACGAAATAAAACAGATAGATACAAAATCATAGTAGGTTACCTGAGCCAGCCATCGGGCAATTCGATCACCCCGGTCTTGAAGGGTGCAACCGTCATTGTAGCGGTCGGTAGGGTGGTCGACGGGGGGAAGAATATCCCTGAGGTATTTCGAGAACCTTGAGCCGTCGAACGCGGTGATCGAGAGGGCAGTCTCCTCGACACGGCGACGTTTCCCAGCACCCTCATCCCCTCCAACGAGGGAGCGCTTATGTTGACTCGCCTCAGGCATAGCCTTCTTAGGAGAGGCGGGAATGTGAATAGTTGGAGTGGGCTGGTCGTGCGGAGGAGACTGCGGTGGAGAAGATGCTGATCTCTCGAGCTGTTCTGGTTGTTCGGATGGCTGGTCAGCTTGAGGGATAGTCACTGAAGGTTGTTCGACAGTCACCTTTGGAGGCGGTGAAGTCGAACGAGGGGATTTGGAGGTAGTCGAGTCAGCTGGCCTCGAGCTCGATTCCTCAGCGGTCTGCTTCTTCCTCAGAGGAGCTTTCCTCCTGGGTATAGAGATGGCAGGCATCTCTGCAAAAAATTTACGCGTAAGTTAAAGCCATGATAGATAAATAATATGTGGAACAAACATAATGATGTGAAACAAACGCGATAATACTCGAGCCTGTTCGATGATGACACATACCTGGGTCACCCTCTATCCGGATTTGATCGAGGGTTTTCTAGCTAGGAAGAGGACAGGATTTGTGGGTAAGTAGTCCGCAGAAATGCAAGAGGTTCTCGTCCTCGAGCAAAATCTTCGACACGACGGGTTTGCTGTTCCAAACCGCAATCCTTTGATCGAAAAGGGCGTTGGTAGAAGGTACAGAATACTCACGCGGTAGTTCTTTTAGCCAAGGAGATGACGCCCAGGGGAAAGCAAGTTTAGGCTCGACAAAAGTGAACTTGTTTTTCTACCTGGGGACGTTGGAGGGAGTGTCCGAAATGAAATGGACATCATTGCGGCTCTTGAGGTAGATCCCCTGAGCGTGTTTGGAGGGTGTATAGCAGTAGTGGAAGAAGTCCAGGTCGAGCCGGCCTAAACGGATGTGGTAGAGGATGATGAAGACAGTGATAAAACGGATGGCGTTAGGTGGAAGTTGGTTCAAGGGCAGGTCGAACCATTTACAAAGTTCGACCAAATCGCGGCTTAGGGGAAAACAGACGCCGAGTTTAAATTGGATCTCGAAGAAGGTATAACAGTTTTTGGGAGGGTTGTCATAGGTATCTCGGGGGCCGGGAGATACGAAAGTCCAGCTAGTAGGATAGCCAACCTCTTCGGCATCTAGCCAGCCAGCTATGAGGGAGCGAGAAGAGGAAGAAGTCTTCCTAGAAGAGCTAGACACTTTGGTCGACATACCCTTCTTAAGTTTAGGGGAAGAGGTAGCTCGAGGAAAAACAGAATGGCGAGAAAGGGGAATGTTATCTTTGTCTTTCTCGGCAGCGGCTTCAGCGGCATTAAGAGCCTCTTCAAAGGCATTAGAGACCCCAAATGCCGGTCGACGGCGATTGAGAGGGATATGGTCAAGGGTATCCTCGTCCGATTCATCAATTAGACGAGTAGGTTGGCGAGGAGGAGAAGGTGTGGTGTAATCGGAAGGGCGTAGAACGCTGATAGGAGCGGGATTGTAGATTTCTTCGACGGAACGGGAAGGTGAGTGAGGAATAGGCCGACGAGCGGGGAAGGATGAGGTGGTGATCTCGTCTTCAACAGAGTGGTGGCTTGGTGCGTTAGAATCAGCGGAATCTGAAAAGCAAAACGAAGAAATGAGAGGAAGAAAGAAAAGGAGTTAGGGTTTTTGAAGCAAAGAAGGAGGTTTTTTCTTGCCACAGGCGAGACAGAAGGATTTGGGAAAAAGGAGAAACAATAGAGAAAATTGGAAAATTTAACAAAACAAATGCACATAAATATAAATTGAAGCACAGAAGACTTACTCATGGTTGCAGAGGAGAGGGATCGCCGAAGAAGCCTGAAATTGAAGGAGCAAAAACGCCGAAGAGCAGGGGAGCGCAGTTTGCAGAAGGCGAAATTAGGGCACAAGTATGTAGAAGATTGCAAAGGTGAGAAAAGCTGAAAAATTGGCTAAGTACCGTATTTATAGGGGTACAGGTGAATAAGGTGAAGAGTCAGGGGAGATGACCGTTAGATAAAAGAAGATCCAACGGTAGAAAAAATTAGAGAGGTACAGATAGCGAGGCGGCACAAATCGTGAGGAGGCGCGGTGATTAAAGGAACTGAACGGAAAGGACATGTGGCAGGCGGAGATTATGCTGATAATAAAAGGAAATAAACAACAGTTATAGTGTGCATTAAAATGGACCACGTGGTCGAGGAAAGGCGACAACATCAACAAAAATGATCGAGAGAAGAGGCCAGGTGCAAGTGGGAGATTGAGAGGATTGACAGAATGGAGAGGACAAATCGAATCCACTCTTAGATCGAGTCATTCAGACTCGACCAGAGTGGAGGGGACTAGATAATATGGGATATTATATAGCTGAGGAATAGACCGGTTTGCATCATCGGTAGAACAACCTCGAGGTGGAGAAAACTGGATTGGGAGAAGGATGATCGACCAAAAAGAAGGAGATCGAGGAGAATAGCAGAGCTGGTCGAGGATCGGCCAGAAGGAAGGAGATCGAGCAGAATAGCAGAACTGGTCGAGGATCGACCAGAAAGGAGAAGATCGAGCAGAATAGCAGAACTGATCGAGGATCGACCAAAGGGGAGGAGATCGAGCACTCAACGGGTGAAGAGCAGTCTAGAGCGTGGCGTGAATGTGAGGAGGTGCGTGGATGACGTGGGAAGATCCCAACGGCCTGCGCAGAGGGATAATCTCCCTCAGCTTAGAGGGACACGTGGCAAGAGTATATTGGTGCAGAGTGATAGTGGCGAAAGCCACCCCTGATATCTCTGACACACACACACTGCGTGGGTACGGACGGGCAGTACGGGCAGGACAGCTCACCAAAAGCCGGGCAGTTTTTAGGGCAGGTATCTCACTCCTATATATATGGGAGTGAGTCTTTTCTTGTGACTTACGATTTATCCATTCTTTACTTTGGAAAATTGAACAAACACATACTGACTTAAGCATCGGAGGCTCTTCACCGGAAAACCCCTCCGCTGTGAGAGTTCTGTGCAGGAACGTGGCGTTCTACCAGCGAGGAAGAAAGAAGCAAGCTGATTTCAAGCCGGTCGGAGTGTTTTGCGTTACCATAGTCTTTTTCCAAGTATCTAGTATTTGTGGTAACGATTACCTTCTGATCCTTGAGACTTTAAAATAAACCACTTTTCCACTCTAAGGAATAACCCACAAACAACTGTACTTCTAAACGCTTTTCCATCTTATCAGCATCTTGCACCGGCACATGTGCTGGGCTACACCAAATCCGAAAATGTGAAATATTGGGTTTGCTCCCATTCCAAAGTTCAGTCAAAGTAGTTTCAATTGACTTAGATGGAACTACATTCAAGATGTTTCCAGGGCTATTCTCCAGAACAAATATGATGACTCTGAAAAACTCATCATCGACCGAAACATCTCCATAAGATTCTTGTTCCTCCGTTCTGCTACTCCATTCTGCTGGGACGCGCCGGGTGAAAGAAGTTGGGATTATATCTCAACCTCCGAGAAATATGTCATAAACTCTCCCAAGAGGTATTCGCCACCCCGATCTGATTAGAGTGACTTGATACTCTTACTATGACGTTTCTCCACAACTGCCTGATACTGCTTGAATTTCTCAAAGCATTTGGACTTGCAGTGCATCAAGTAGACGTACCCGTGTATCGAATAATCATCAATAAATGATTTGTTTATTCAATTAACTTGCCACCTTCCTTCCCCTCAAAATTAACGCGCTCCCTCATTTCTCTCTCTATAATCCTATTGCTCCCTTTTTTTCTCTCAGAACTGTATTTCTACCTTTTTCTTCTTCTTCTTCTCAAAACACCATCTTCAACCTTTACACACATTCCTGTAGCTAAAGCCTGGATATGCATCTCTCTGCACTCGCACTGTGAGTTTTGCAGTTCGCATTGGCCTTTGCCCCCAATTTGTTTGGGCAGCGGTTTATCTATCGAGGGTTTTTTATTCAAAGTGCTTCTTAGCAGATGCAATCCATTTCTAATTCCTCGCCTCCGGCCCACTGATGTGATGACTATTCCGACCAGTCGATGGCTATGTTGAAGCTTCATTTCATACTTTCGACCCGTTTGATAGGATTTGTGGCCGTCCTGTTACTATCAATCTCGACAAACCCTAGACCGGCGGTTACTGCTTGGGCGGACTCGGGTTCGGAAGACCTGGATTTGGACTCGGAGATTCTTCTCTTCCACCAGGACTACACTCCGCCAGCACCTCCCCCTCCGCCGCCACATCCACCATCGCTCTCCTGCCAGTCCGATCTAGGTGGCATTGGTTCATTGGACACCACTTGTCAGGTGGTCTCCAGCTTGAATCTATCCAAGGATGTGTACGTTGAAGGCAAGGGTAATCTCGTAATCTTGCCCAACGTTATCGTGAATTGCTCCTCTATTTCTGGATGCGAGTTCGCCGTGAATGTTACCGGGAACTTCACTCTGGGTGAGAATTCGACCATAATCTGTGGGACCTTTGAGTTGGCCTCGGATAATGCTAGTTTTGGGAATGGTTCTGCTGTGAACACGACAGGGTTAGCTGGTTCTCCTCCGCCGCAGACCAGCGGGACCCCGCAAGGAGTTGATGGGGCTGGTGGGGGTCACGGCGGTAGGGGTGCTGCGTGTTTGAGAGATAAGAGTAAGCTTCAGGAAGATGTGTGGGGAGGGGACGCTTATTCATGGTCTAGTTTGGGGAAGCCTTGGAGTTATGGGAGTCGAGGAGGGACGACAAGCAATGAAGTTGACTATGGAGGCGGAGGAGGAGGGAGGGTGATGCTTGTGGTTTCAATGCTTTTAGAGCTGAATGGTATTATTCTTGCTGATGGTGGAGATGGAGGTGTCAAAGGTGGAGGGGGTTCTGGGGGCAGCATCTACATCAAGGCTTATAAGATGTAAATTCTTCACTATTCTCTTGTTATTGTTTAATTCTGCTTCCTGTTAGTCTACATTAATGTATTGAAAATGCTTTTATTCACTTTCGTGATTGTGTAATGGAAAAGGGAGTGAGAGGTTTGATTAATTTGATGGTGTAACTTAGGTAGTTTGAATTTTGCGCATGTTCTGAATCGAAGGGCAAGTTATGATTTGTTTTGATTATATATTGGATGAATCAGTATCACATCGAACTAATCTGATTCTGCCTTCTTGTTGGGGATTTCCTCATGTCATGGAAACCTTACCATTTATGGACTGTATATTGTTTGGTAGAATATTGTATATATTGTGTTTTCATCAATTTATTGACTGATAACTAAGAATGAAGGACTGTATATTGTTTGGTAGAATATTGTATATATTGTGTTTTCATCAATTTATTGACTGATAACTTAGAATGAATATTCTATGGGAAGGTGGAATTAAACTGTTTGTCCTGTGGTTCATACAACGCTTTCAACAGGAGTGAACAAACGATGGAAGTGACTGTAGGAATGTTTCTTATAGGCTGAAGCCCACTTTATTTTCTCTCCTGCAGTTCTAATGTTCAGAATTCTATGATTGTGATAGTAGTACTTCATTGAAGTCAACTGTAGCAAAGGCCTGTCTAACTAAATCTTACTGGATCTGCTTTCTTGCAGTTGGAATCAGTATTGGAATAGGGATCTAGATAATTTATTTGGTAGCTCTAATGCCTACTTCATGTTGGTTCCGATTATATTTTCTAATATCTCTAATATCAAAATGCCTTGGTTTTATTTGTGCTGCATTTTAGATTATACTAGCCTCATTGGTAGAATTTTGTTATTCGGTGGCATAGATAACATCCTTCCCAAAGTGGTACTTCTTTATTATTTATTATTATTATTATTATCATCATCATCATCATCATCATCATCATCATCATCATCATAATCATCATCATCTTCCCAGTATTTTTATATTACATCCGTATCATTTTTGAGTTTTCTTAATGTATCATGCCTGTTATCATTTTATTTTATGCCTTCAATAGTTCAGTTCATCCTTTGTTTTGTGTTTCACATTCGGAAAATTATTATGAACCTATTGTTTTTGTTAAACTGCAGGATTGGAACTGGCAGTATACATGCTTGTGGGGGTAGTGGTTTTGGTGGAGGTGGTGGTGGTAGAGTTTCAGTTGATATATTTAGCAGGCATGATGAGCCGGTTATTTATGTACATGGTATGACCTACGATAATTTCTGTCTTTGGTCATCTCAACCTATATGTCTTAAAGTTTTCTTTGGTCCTACTTTAAGTAATATATATTATCTATTACCTATTTGACCAGCTTTCTCCATTATTATTCTGAGGAATAAAGCAACAGATATTTGCCGAAATGATTTATTAAATACAACCTAATCATTATGCTAATTTGCTTTCTTCGAGACTTTCTTTCCTGTCTTTGGCATAGATTCTTAGAGCGAACAGTTGATCTAGCTTTGAATCTATATCTTCCGATTAGTGAATAATAAAGCACCTGATTATCCTTTTATGAGTCTGAAAATGTAATTGAACCAGTCAAGCTTCACAAGCATGTCTTTGTTGCAGGTGGGAACAGTCTCGGTTGCCCTGAAAATTCTGGTGCTGCTGGTACATTCTATGATTCCGTTCCTCGCAGCCTTACTGTCAGCAATCATGAAAAACCTACATTTACGGACACACTCCTCATGGACTTCCCTCAACCATTTTTGACAAATGTCTATATCCGGAATCAGGCCAAGGCTGCCGTCCCCTTGTTGTGGAGCCGTGTCCAGGTCAGTGAAATTTGGATAATTGATAGAGCATTTCCTACATGTTGCCTATAATTTTGCAGAATAAATTTGAGTCAGTAAAGAGGATCTTCTCCTAATGCTTTCGTCTTTATGGGACAATATCTTGTACCTGCCAAGGTTATATATGTTTTTATGTAATGTGACACTACAGTTTGAAAATAAGAATCTAATTCAGCTTCATTTGTTTGTCAAGGTTCAAGGACAAATCAGTCTCTTGAATGGAGGAGTGTTGAGCTTTGGGCTTGCACATTATTCAATGTCAGAATTTGAACTAGTGGCAGAAGAGCTATTAATGAGTGATTCTGTTATTAGAGTAAGTGACAGTTTTTGCAATGAAGTGTTTTTCAAATGGTTGAGATACTGAAATCCTATCTTTTCTCTCATTCACTTGCATTCGGTTAATAAAAAAGTTGGTAGGTTAAACTATTACTGACTACAAGCATTTACTGAAAGACTTGTTCATTTAAATTATCTTATTTAGGTTTTTGGCGCCCTTCGGATGTCTGTTAAGATGTTTTTGATGTGGAACTCAAAGATGTCAATAGATGGTGGTGGAGATGAAAATGTTGAGACATCTTCGCTTGAGGCTAGTAACCTCATAGTCCTCAGGGTGAGTATCTACTATCTATAGCATTGTGGTCTAGGAGTACACACATAACATGGTTGTCTATTTTGCTTCAACAGGAATCATCACTTATCCATTCAAATGCTAACCTGGGAATTCATGGGCAAGGTTTATTAAATTTGTCTGGACCAGGAGATTGTATAGAAGCTCAACGCCTAGTTTTGTCGTTGTTTTATAGTATAAATGTAAGCAACATCCTTGATCTCGTTTTGTTTTTTGTTTGCCATTGTCAAACACTTAATTTCTATATTTGCATTTGTTGGTTGTTTAGTTCTTTAGTTCTATTGACTAACTGAATATAATGATTCTAGGTTTTGGAATTTAAATTACCAAGGCTCTATTTCTCAGTTTATTTGCTTGATTTCTCTTAATATTTGTGTCATTTACTTTGTCTTTCTAAGTGATTATTTTGTGTGTAGGTTCCTAGTTGTATTTGATGGTAGCTTCATCTCATTTACACACCTTGGACACTTTTAAACTTCAGTGTCGAGTATACTTTAATGTTCATATGAGTTTGAGCTTGTTGCAAGTGTATTTTCGATCTGTTCATTTCACTTTTATTTCCTTCCATATTTCAGATTCTTGATTGTTTGTTACTGCTTAACTCATTGAATGAAACCAGTGCTGTCATTCTGGTTGATTCATGTTATCTGCAACCTTTTGTAACTGGTCTTTCAATATTATAATCTGATACATTCCTGGCCCTGGTTTGATACAATATTAAATTAAAGTCGTATTAATCTTATTTTCATTTCTCATGTGATGAAGATTGGACCTGGATCTGTTCTGCGTGGTCCTTTAAAAAATTCATTGGATGACGCTGTGTAAGTTTCAATGCCTTTTTAACTAAACCTAAATTTCACTATTTCTTGTTTCTCCTGAAAATTTATTTTTGTTTCATTTAGGACTCCAAAATTGTACTGTGATACGCAAGATTGCCCAGCTGAACTGCTACGTCCACCTGAGGACTGCAATGTGAATTCGTCTCTGTCCTTTACTCTACAGGTGCCTAATTACTGATAGAAAGTATTAGATTTCTCTCTTTCTTCAACTACGTGTAATTCGAACACGACGCCTTAGTTTTTGCTATTTATGAACAATTATGCCTACTTGTGTAGATATTTCTTAAAGATATACATATACGTTTATATGTGATTGAGCAGATCTGTCGAGTTGAGGATATCTTGGTCGAAGGTTTTGTTGAAGGCTCAGTTGTTCATTTCCATAGAGCTAGGACCATCACTGTTCCTTCATCTGGAGTTATAAGCACATCTGGAATGGGTAAGATTACAATTTTTCTGAATAATGGATTCTGTGATGCTAGTCTTCTCTCTATAACAAGCATACGAAGAACTCTGGCTTGGCCTTCCAGTTTGTAGAAATATTGGTCGAACAGAAATTGTTCTGTTTCTTCACATAATTCATGAATCAATGGATCTTCCATTGGAAACTTATATGTTGTAGTTGGTTGCACTTCCGATATATCTGAATCTGGAATTTGTTTATGCAGGCTGCCAAGGTGGTGTTGGTCAAGGTACATTATTGAGCAATGGTCTTGGTAGTGGTGGTGGACATGGTGGCAGGGGTGGGATGGGATGTTATAATGGCAGCTGCATTGATGGTGGCGTACCATATGGTGATGCTGAATTGCCTTGTGAATTAGGTAGTGGGAGTGGAAATGATAGCATGGCAATATCAACCACTGGTGGTGGTATTTTGGGTAAGCTTAAAATTTTCAGATGATATTAATGGATTTTTTTTCCTGATTGTGTATTTACCTGGAAATCATACTCTTGTTAGCTACCTTAGCTGATTGGTTGAGATCCTACACCTGGTGTATAGATCCTAGACAGTTCTCTCATTTTTATTTGTGGTCCTAGTGTAGCTCCTGAACATATGGATATGGTTCGTGTTCACTGACATTATTTATTGAATGCACCTAAGCGTCTTGAATATCTAATATGTTATTGAATATTACCAATCTAGTAGTTGATTTTTTTTAACAATCGTTATCAGGCTATCTTAGCTCTTCTGCAGTGGGATTATAGTTTTGACTTTCCATGCAGTTATGGGCTCGTTAGAGCATCCCTTGATGAGTTTATATGTTGAGGGTTCTGTCAGAGCAGATGGAGACAGCTATACAGGCAGCCGTCAAATGAAGAATTCGTCCACTGATGATGTGAATTTTGGACCTGGAGGTGGATCCGGTGGTACTATCTTATTATTTCTACGCTCTTTGACTCTTGGTAAATCTGGCAATTTATCTAGTGTTGGAGGTCATGGTAGCCTGAGTGGTGGTGGAGGAGGAGGTGGTGGACGGATTCATTTTCACTGGTCAGATATTCCCACTGGAGACGTATATTGGCCCCTAGCTACAGTTAACGGAACAATTTCTGCAGGGTTAGTACAAATATTTCCCTCTGCTGATGCATCTGTGTTGAATGAATTTTCTTTAGTTCGACCTAAACTATATTGTTTATTTTATGCATAGGACAATGGTTTATAGTATATTTTTCATCCTTATGTTTTCTAACAGATATATAATACCTCATTAATATTTTGGTTATGATCGCTACATGATATTTGGAGAGCTTCATAGAAGAAATTATTGTGAATTGGTTTCTGTCATGATGCGGATAAGCTTCAGGCTTTGAGTGTACCTACCCAGCCATGGTAGGGGTTCATTTCTATAATAAATAGTTTGTCAGACGTTTAACATTAAAAATAAATGTAGTCCTATGACTATGAGGAGTAAGTGATTACGGCCTATATCTCTACATTATTTGGGAGCTGCCATGTAACTTACTATTTAATTATTGGATTTCACTGTAGACCTGGCCTATATCTCTACATTATTTGGGAGCTGCCATGTAACTTACTATTTAATTATTGGATTTCACTGTAGACCTTATCTCATTGGTTTGGTTCCATGCTTCTCATTGGGAGCTTTGTCTAAATGGTTTATACCTGAAATGACCCAGTCTCAAAAGCAGACCTGGTGTTCCGGATATGCTTCTCCATATTTTATGCGAATTTCAGCATGTAGGACTGTTGAAAAATGTATCATTTTGTGCTTGCTTGATTCTTTACATGCATATCATGCTTCAGAATCTGATATTGACGTCTGCATTTTATTGGTTTTGACATTTCTAGTATTTTCTGATTTCCTTTACCGTAGGGGTGGCGTAGGTGGCAGACAGAGTCACATGGGTGAAAATGGAACTCTCAGTGGTAAAGCCTGTCCTAAGGGGCTTTACGGAATATTCTGCGAGGTAGTTCTTTCATATCTTTTGAGTCGTTTTCAAGTTTACATTTGTTACATGTTATTCTTTAAGAATGCCCATTTTCGTTTGTTATGATATTTTAATTGATAAATTTGTTTCCAAGTTGAGTTATCACAATTAGTAAAGAATAGGTCTTGACATCATTTCTTGATTGTAGTGGATTGCTCATGGAGTTTGCAGTTACTTCCAATTGCACTATTGATCAATTGATAGAGCATAGAAGCATATCTGGCTAGAATATTATTTAATTGAGAAATGGTAACTATTTGTTAAGACACCAGGAAGTTAGTGCACTTTGTTGGTTTAGTTTTTTCCCGATTTATGATCAGAAGTTAAGTAGGTTTTCTGCCAAACAACAACATAGTTAGTGTCTTGCTTATGAAGTTTTTATCTAGTCTACTTCTGATAATTTATCTTGATGTCTTTTTCTCGCTGTAGGAATGTCCAATTGGAACTTATAAAAATATCACAGGATCTGATAGTTGTTTTTCATGCCCAAGCAATGAGCTTCCCAACCGTGCTGTTTACGTTCATGTCCGAGGTACTTCTGATCGAGGGGAACATTTTATACTTTCATGTCTTCTTTTTTCTTCATCTTTTTTTCCTTTACTAAATTATAAATGAAAGCAGTTATGCAACATTTATGATTATGCCTGCTCAGTTGCCTCAAATTTCAACTTTTCTCAGTTGGAGTCAGAAGTTGTTTACTTAAATCATGCTGCTTATTTATGTTGATTCATGTGATCAATAACATGTAATTAATGGGATATTTGTTCTTGCTGCTGGTAGGCGGTATTACGGAGACACCTTGCCCTTATAAATGTATTTCTGAGAGGTACCACATGCCACACTGTTATACTGCTCTTGAAGAGTTGATATATACCTTTGGAGGACCCTGGCTATTTGGCCTTCTGCTTTTGGGTCTTCTCGTTTTGCTTGCTCTAGTTCTGAGCGTTGCCCGGATGAAGTTCATTGGTGTTGATGAGTTACCAGGCCCTGCGCCTACACAGGGTTCTCAAATAGATCATTCATTCCCTTTCCTGGAGTCTCTTAACGAGGTAATTTTATAGAGTTTTTCTAATGGGGAGAATAAGGAACTGTCCAGTTTCACATCTTCCTATCCACTGTTTTGTGACTAAGAAACATGTTTGACACAACATTGCCAATCAGGTTTTGGAAACTAACAGAGTAGAGGAGTCTCAGAGTCATGTGCACAGGATGTACTTATTGGGTCCAAACACATTTAGTGAGCCCTGGCATCTTCCACATACACCTCCTGAACAAGTAAAAGAAATAGTGTAAGTTCTTTCTCTCTTGATCATCTTCTATCTGATCATGTACTCGGCACAGCACTACTATTCTATCACTATATTTTATCACATCTGATATGAGATGCAAGTCTACCTCTACGGTTTAGTTAACAAAAAAAGGGTTTAGCTATTGTGAACAACTACAAGTAAGCTGTTAAAGTATTGCAATGCACCGTTGATGTTTATGTTTTTTGTTTTATAGAAACTCCTTCAAATTAATTTGTGATAATAAGATATTTTTCAAATGGGTATTTGCAATTTTGAAAATAGTTGTTTTAAACCATTATTGGGAAGAATCAAATGAGTAATTGTTACAATATAATGTTCGATATACTTTCAACATATCGTATAGTGCTTTTTTCAATTTCTACTCTTGACTTGATACTTAGGGGGTTATTGGATATGAATCCAACCGGTTATTATCCAATTTTGTTTGTTAAAGTGACTTATTTTGAATAAAGTTATTTTGAATAAAGTTGATTGGGTAAATGATTTTGAGTTTGTAATTGAATAATATTTAAAATGTATTGATTAAAGTTGATGTGATGTAAAAGTAGGAGATATATTATTGGAAGTGATTGGTAGTTAAAATTATGTGAGTGGATGGATAGTGAATTAAAGTTGATGTGATATGTGAGGATAATTGATTGGTATTATTTAATTATTTATATATTATAAAAAGTAGGAGAGTTGGGTTGAGTTGAATTTTAAGTGGTGATTGGAAACAAAATAACTTGATCTCTCAAAAGCGATTAAAACCGGTTATGATCCATATCCAAAAACGCCCTTAATGTTTCAGAATAATAATGTAATTCTCTCTTATCAAATGGCAGATATGAAGGTGCATTCAACACGTTTGTGGACGAGATCAACTCTCTTGCCGCATATCAGTGGTGGGAAGGGTCAGTGTATAGTATTCTTTGCATACTTGCTTATCCTTTTGCATGGTCGTGGCAGCAATGGCGGCGGAAAATGAAGTTGCAGAAGATAAGAGAATTTGTCCGATCTGAATATGACCATGCTTGTTTACGTTCATGTCGTTCGCGTGCTCTATATGAAGGTTTGAAGGTAAAAAAAGATGCCTGTCTTGTTTTGTCTTTCAAATATGTGGCCCCACTTCAACTGGTGATTCTGCTTATCTCAAAGGAACTCCCGACTTTTCCATGAAAAAAAGCATGCAAATTTTAATGATTCCCTATTACGCTATTATGTATAATAGCTTGTAGTGTGAAATAAATGATAGCTGTGCTTAGCAATCATCAATTATCCTGCATGAAATTTTGAAGAAAAAAACTCTTAGTGGTTGCATGGGAATTTTTGTTTGTAATTACATGGATCCAGAGGATTAAACATCTCGTAGCTGAAGTGGTAGAGTATGCTGGTTCTGACGGAACACCTGGCTGTCTTTCCATCTGTCATGCATTTAGCTATTAAATTGGTTTTCTCACAAATTTGTTTTTTCGATTTTTTTGAGCTATGAGTTCTCTTGACTGTACAATTTGAATTTGAAATTTCCAAGCAATTTTATTTCTTAATTCATAACTGTAGGTTGGCGCAACACCAGATCTAATGCTGGCGTACATAGATTTCTTCCTTGGCGGTGACGAGAAGAGAAATGATCTTCCTCCTCGTCTGCATCAAAGATTCCCCATGTCTATATTATTTGGAGGTGACGGAAGCTACATGACTCCATTCGTGCTTCATAATGACAACATCCTCACCAGTCTCATGAGTCAGGTTTATTTTCTTATTTTAAGTTAGTTTTCAAACTGTAAATTTTATTCTAATTTTTTTCTTCGAAGAAAAAAATGTCGTTATTCTATTGAGCCTACCTTCTCTTGCAGTCTATCCCTCCTACCACATGGTACCGTTTGGTGGCTGGTTTGAATGCTCAGTTGCGCTTGGTAAGAAGGGGCTGCCTTAGGAAGAAGTTGAGTCCTGTCCTTGAGTGGCTTGAAACATTAGCAAATCCAGCACTAAGGGCATATGGTGTGCATGTGGATCTTGCATGGTTTCAAAGTACAACTGATGGCTATCGCCATTATGGAATTCTGATATATGCTCTGGAGGAGTTGGATCGAATGTCAGTAGCATATCATGATGACGAACCTGGAAATGAACACCGTTCAAGGTATGCATCTTTGATAGCAAATAAACTGTTTTCTTGATATTCTGGACTTTTCTTATTTAATTATGCATTTGCTTTAATTTTTGTTCTACTTAAATATTTCGGGAAAGTGCAAATGCTGTTAGCAAAAAGCAACTATTTTTATATTTAGTTGCCGCATCTTATCAGCATTCCTAGTTGAACCAGTTTTTAGTATATAATGATATCCTGCATGCATATTTTAGTTATTTTTATTTCCAAAACCATCTTTACTTTAGCACTGTCATGTGTGTGGACTTATAGTCAATTCGATGAATTTTAGAATTTCAGGCTGCATCATATGTGAATAATTTAGAACAAGATGCNCGAATAAGTTGTTCAGTCGGGCTCTGCGAACCGGTGAAGGTAACTGGAGAAGGAATGTTTATGGCGGGATTCTAGATATTAACAATTTGAAGGAGGTTGAGGAGAAAAGAGATCTGTTTTTTGTCCTCTCTTTTCTACTTCACAACTCTAGACCTGTCGGTCACCAGGTAATCTAACCTACCACTAAAATAAAATAAAATAATTAAAATGTTGAAAAACAAGTTGATCTTGAAAAGAAATACTTACCAGAATTATTACATTGTATTTTGCGCTTCAGGATGTTGTTGGTTTGGTGGTCTCAATCCTTCTTCTTGGAGATTTCAGTCTAGTATTGCTTACACTGCTCCAGTTGTATTCTTTTTCGCTATCAGACGTCTTTCTTGTTTTGTTTATTATACCCCTTGGGATATTGCTTCCTTTCCCTGCTGGAATCAATGCTTTGTTCAGTCACGGGCCCAGACGATCAGCAGGTCTTGCACGTGTATATGCTCTATGGAACATCACATCCTTTGTAAATGTTGTAAGTTCCACTTAATTTGTTTAACCTAAGTTAAATCTTGTTTTCTTCTATATAATCATTTATTTTGCTTGTTTTGTTTATTTTTTATCCTGGCTAAAAAAATAAAGATTTTTTTTTTACTATGGGAATGGCTTTCATTTGGACCTTTTTACGTTCTTAGTATTTGTAATTAGCTATCTTATAAGTTGCGTGGTCTTTTTTCTTAACCACAGGGTGTTGCATTTGTTTGTGGATATATTCACTATCGTACGCAATCAAGTAGGAAACTTCCCTTCCAGCCGTGGAATATGTGAGCCTACTTTTTAGCAGTTTACAATACAAAATTTTTAGCACTTACATTCGAAGTATTCTCATATTTTCCACGTGTTTGTTTATAATTGCAGGGATGAAAGTGAATGGTGGATTTTTCCTTTTGCACTTCTTTTGTGTAAATGTATCCAGTCGAAGCTGGTAAACTGGCATGTTGCAAATTTGGAAATTCAAGATCGTTCGTTGTACAGTAATGATTTCGACTTGTTCTGGCAGTCATAGAATTTAAGGATCAAATATTTCCCACAGGAACATCCCTCAATTTTTTTTTTGGGTTTTGTTTATTGCAATGTGTCCATGTAGTCCTTTTTAGGGAGAAGTTGACACAGGAGTAGAAAAAAAAGTTGAACGCAAAGAGGTGGTACAAAACAAGTAAATGCAGCCGAGGCAAATTTATTTTTGTAGCCTTGTGTTTGTGCAGCTATGTTCATTTTGCTTTGTAAATATCAAACGGGATATTCCCTTGATTAACATATTATAAATCTCGATTTTATTAGGTGGTATTCCTCTGTTAGTTGTGGGAGAATCATATAAATCTGAGGTCATATTGATTCAAATGTTTGGTCGTTGGACATCGTTCCCATCTTCTACAATTCAAAAATTTATGCAAAATTTAAATTCTAGCAAAAAAGATCTGTGTACTCACTTCGATCTCAATTCCCAATTGGTTAGTCCATATTACTTACAGTAACGAAAACGACCACAAATTCTTTTGCAAAATCATTGATTAAATTTCATGTTCATCCCATTGACTTGGTTTTGCCCTAGGTATTAACTTGACATGGTTAGCTCAATATATTCGAGCATTTATGTAAATTACTTGTATATATTTGTGTCATATTTATTTATAATGAGGTATAACAATACTAATACTTTAAATTACATATGCAACACCCCGCTACTTAGGGTCAATTTTTCGCAAATTTTACCTTCGAAAACGCTTATAAATTTTTCGCAATCATTTGCAAACTTATCTCGGGATGCTGCTAAAAACTTATTTGCTTTGGAAATCTGTTTTCTTAACTAGGTCTATCAACTGGTTTAGACTTTAAGAAAATCAGATTTAAATCTTATATCGAATCTTGCATTTTAACTGGTCCCGTTCGTACTGGCGAACTGGATAATTTATTTAAGTCTGAAAGTACTGTCATGCAAGTTCGAAATAAAAGCAAGCATAGCGGAAGTCTGAAAATGCGTGGAAATATTAGTTATACAAAACATGATAACAAATGTCCCTGGAACGGCTCGCTGTGCCGAATCCACGACCACAACCACCACAGCTGGACTCACGCCTGCCCGCCGACCCTGCCATCTGAAAATATAAAGTGGGGGTAAGTACGGTCCACTTGTACTCCATAAAAAACCCATTCTAAAGTAAACAACAATAATAATAATGATATCACAGAACCGGTATATATAAGTAACTGAAACTCCCGGACACTCTGGCCGGTAACTGTAATCTCCTGGACACTCTGGTCGGTACCATGTGCACACTCTGATGGTATATTTAAGGCGAACTGGGCCACCACCAGAACTTAGGGAAGGACATATCGGCCTTAACCCCAAGTGGATAAAACTCATATACATACCTGAACGTGATATCGACTATTATACTCAATTTATAACCCAAATTGGGTCCTCACCTGATCTGCTTTGAAAATATGTAAGTGCGGCTGTGCTGGTAGCTGAATCCTCAAGCTACATAAAAATATAAGCAAACAAATATATTAAGTACTATGCTCGTCATATGCTCAATAATATGCTAGGATGCTCTACTCTATCAGATTACTCATCCGGATATAAAGGAACGCTCTAAGAGTTCGCTAAAATAATTCTAAGTCCGGAACTCAAACTGATATGCTCAACTGGACTGGTTTGGCTCGGAAAATATACTAAAATTTCGGAATATAACTCGGACCAAAATACTCGAACCAAAACTGACTCGAACCGCCGGTTAAACTGACCGGTTCGCTCACTAATTAAACCGGATCGGGCTGAACCGTACCGGGCCGGACCGCCGGTTCACTCTGGACCGGGTGGTCACGGGCTGGTCGGACTGGCCGGGCTCGGTCCCGCGCTGGGCCGGCTGGGGCCCTGGCATGGCACTAGGCACGAGCTGGGTGCGACCGGGCCTTGTTACTAGGCGCTATTGGGCGTGGGCAGGTGTGGCTGGCACGAGCCCTGCCACGACTGGTGCCTCTAGGTGCTGCTGGGCACGACTAAGGGTGACTGGGTGCTCTAGTGCGCTACTGGCACGAGCACGGGCACGACTGGTGCCACTCGGGTGCTACTGGGCACAGCCGAGGTCAACTGGGTGCTGGGAGTGCGACTGGGCACTGGGGCGTGCAACTGGTCACGGCTTGAGTGCGGCTGGTGCAAGAACTGGCATAGCCAGGCACTACTTACGCGACTCTAGCGCGACTGGGGTTGGTAGGGCGCTGCCGGGCTACCTTGGGCACGCGGGCGTTCTGCTGGGCACGTCCCGTGGCCAACTGAACCTAAGGAACACGACTAGGGTTCACTAGGCACGGCACTAGGTGCTAGGGCGTGCGGCTGGCACGGCCCAATGCTTACACCGCGCAGCATGAACGACTGGCTCGAAGCCACGCGTGCACTGACGCTGGACAGCACGGCCGAGCGCTGTCGGAGGTGCTTGGGCGCGACTGGCGCCAAGACCTCGCTCACTAGCACGGACAGGCGCTGTCGCGTGTGCTGAGGGCTGCGGTGCCTCGCGTTCGCTAGACGCGGGCACGGACAGAGGCACTGCCTGGCCTCTGCGACGTGGCACGGGCACGGGCACGGCACGCGCGACTGGCGCGGCTGGTGACCCATGACCGGTCCTCGCCGGGCTTCCGGCAACTTTTTCGGTGACAACTGACTCAAACCAACACAACATGATATAAAACATGTAATTATGCCAAGAAATGCTAGGGCAACTCGGTTGGATTTGGAGATAGGCCTATAGGGTCGATAAGGCACCCATGAGCCCTAGGTCACCGAAATGAACATTCTCAACATACAATTTCACTTATGGCCGAATGATTTACATAAAAAATCATTGCTATTGAGGCTAGGACATTGGCTAAATACTTGCATGCACATAGACTTGGTTTGGGGGTTAAAATAGCTCAAATTCACTAACCAACTTGACCGAACAATTGAACTCAAAACATGCCAATATTTTACCAATGTCATAGTCATGATTTTTGAGGATTTTTAAGCTATTAAGCTTGGCTACTCATGCATGTACAAGAACTTTCGAAATTAGGGCTCATAAGTTCGAAAAATCATATCTCCTTATATCTCACGTGCATGGCATCATTTCTATACATGATAATTCTTAAAATGTCGTGTATAAGCTGGGAAAAATCAAGGACACGAGCTTACCTTGCTCGAAATCTGAAATGGTGCCAAATGACTTGCTCGGGCTATACTCGCGGCCTAAGTGTCCTTGGTTCAACTTGTGGCTTAAATGGCTGAGAAAGATGAGCTCCAGAGGCTTAGAAAAATCCAATTGGAAGATGCTAAGACTCAAGAGGGAATGGCTGGGGCACGAGAACTCGCGGACTCTCCTCCTCCTTGGCTGCTTGCGCGCACGGCAATGGGCTATGGCAAGCTCTCGGTTATTTTGCTCAAAATCTCTCAATATGTCTAAGTGTTTGATGGGACTAAGAGCTTCAACACTCAGCTGAGAGTCTTCTTAAATGGGTGAGAAGGGGCGGAGAGAATGAGGCATGAAGTGGACTAAGTGGGAGACCAATTCCCTTTCCCATGCGCCTAGAACTTGGTGTGGTCTTGGGGACTGATTTGCACGGATTAATAGGGCATCTAACAGAGCACAATTGTTGAGGATGAAGGTCTGGTCAGCTCTGGACATTCCCAAGGAAGTGGCAGTACTAAGGGACAAGACCAAGCATTAAACAATGCCCCCACCCATGTCCACTATCATTAAAATAATGTTAATGATACTTAGTCTTGCTTGATCCTGCACCAGCCTTTCCTTAGGCTTAATTAACTCCAATTAAACCTGATAATACTCGGCCATAACCTGGTTTAAAGGAACTTGGGCCGGACTTATGCCATTGGGCTTGAAGGCCACTCGCACATGGGCTATGCGCAAGGCTTGGGCGCGACACTTGGGCTGGAAATGGCACAAGGATGGGCTGAGCTACTAAGGCTGAAAATAGCTGAACTTAAGTGTTACAAACACTTAGAAAAATCCTTGAAACTCTCCATAACTTGGGCACGACATGGAGTGGACTAGCGGCACTCAGCGCGACGCATGCTTAGGCTCGGCGCGCGGCCTTGTGCACGCGGCTGAAATGCCATCGCTTGGGCCGAATATGCCATGCCTCTAGGGCTGATCCTATGCCCGAAAATACTTATAAAAAATTTTCCACAAGGTCGGTCATGACTTGGTGCTAATGCTTGGCACTGCTTTGGCCCTAACTCGCGAACCCTAGGTGCGAGTAATCTCGGGACCACACACGAGCTAGGTGCGGTTTACTTGACCGAGGGAATAACATCCAAGGCTCGATAAAAAAAAAAATCTCATACTTAGAAAATATTCTAAGTAATATTATGAGCACGGTTAGGGCTCGAACGAGACTCGGCAGCTAGGGCTCGATACTCGACTAGGCGCGATACTCGTGACCGAACGACTCGGTTCTGGACACGACTTGACTTGGACGATTTATCGAAACATACTCGGTTTCGATTATTCGTCAACTGGAATAATTAATTACGTCTGAATAAAATCCATTGCTAAAAATAAATGGACCGGAATTAATAACTGAGATTGAATAGCTGATAACTGGGCTCGGAACTCAAGATGAGCAGTATTAATAAAAAGAAATAGTTCAACTTGGAACTAAAAACTGTCATTTTTATTAATACAGAACTGGGCTATTACATATTTGTTTCCTTTTCTTTAGAATTCGACAGATATCTTATTTCCAAACTTCTACGTTTGGACTTTCAATCCTTCTTCTAATCAAATTATGAGTCCTTTCCTTAAGAGGATACAAGGATCGATTTATGTATCTATAAATAGGCCTCTAATTCTCCATATTTTCCCTACATTCAAAGTCCAGCAGGTACTTCAGCTTCTTCTTCCTCTTTTTTTTTTTTTTTTTTTTTTTTTTT